AAATAATATCTTTTTGAAGTTCTGATATTATGTGGGTATTATATGTTATGTTAAATAACTTTATATGGCCCTAATTATATTTGTCCTGATCTAATGGTTATTTTTGCCTATTATCATCCTGAAGGTTCAGAGTTCAAATCAGTGTGCCGAAAAAAAAATTGTTTTCCCTTTTACCAAAACCAGGAAAAAACAAATTAATTTTGGATGCACCTTGAGACCCAAACCATCGCTCCTTCGGACTATTTTAATCACAAAATACCTCTCGATTTGTTGTGCAAACTTACCTACCAGAAATCTTGCTCCAATGTACCGAGTGTAGCTTATTTTCTAAAAGGAAATTTTATCTTCATGGTAATTTAAAGAAGTCGTTTTTTGTTTTTTCAAGTAGTTTTTATAATATCTGGGAAAAACCGGGATAAAAGTCGGAAAAACGGAAAAAGTACGAAATGTGGGTATTAGTAAAAAAACTATTATGGTCATGTTTTCTGTGTACAACTTTTCTACCTGCAATTTTGCTCCGATTTAAAATGATAGCACTTTTTCTGAACATAAATTTGAATGGGAAGGTATGTTAGGGAGATAGTTTTTCGATTTTTCAAGGAGTTTACCTAATAAATGGGAAAAGTCGGGAAAAAACATGGGAAAATCGGTACAATATTAAACAAATATTATTAAAGAAAATATATAATGCCTGTTAAATTATTTTACCATGATATGACATATGTATTGTTGAAAAAGCATCACTATCAACTGAACTGCACTCAGAATCGTTTTTTTGTTAGCAATGGTTTATCGTTGCTTACAGATATACCTATAACAGTGGCTGCACCCGTCTCCATTGTCTTACGACGTCTTTTTGGGGATGAAACCACTACTAGTTTTTGATTTTCAAATATCAACCTGTATATAATAGATACTAATGGATTACTAAAAAACGCCTTGCACTGCAATGCCACACAAATGATGGTTCACTATTCTCTTCCTATTCACAAAACGTTTGCAATTGATAATAAGGTATGTAGTATTTTTTTCTCTGCAGATCGGAAATTGTGCGTATTAGCAGAGAGAAATACGAAAGGGGCGATCATTGAATTTAATATATGTCGTACGCGTTATATTTTTATGGTTTGCCGGGAACGCATTTTGTTACCCATCAGACGACCGAAGTTATTCGGGTTTATTTTCCACCCCTGTTATAAAGACATAACAATAGGTGTGGTTCATTATCCATCAACGGTAATATTATTTTTCAGAGGGTATATAATATCATAGAATGACGTTTATTGTGCGTCGGTCGATACCGTATAATAATATAGAGATGCAGACAATGGAATTTTAATGAATATTTCTGTTTGCGTGTGTATGCCTAAATAACATCTAAACAACAGTCGTCAAAAAAAAAATAACGATAATTACCTATGGGTAACTCTATAATAATTATGTTATTATTGAAGACTTGAGCAATGTGTGTTAGTAACAAGATAATATTATTAAAGTATCATACTATAGGAACGGTCATGAGTTGTTTTTTTTAAGCACTGATTGTAACAAAAAAAAAAAAATTGTAAAACGGAAATGGGCAATGTTTTGTATATAAAAAATTTAATATCGTAATTATAATTTACGATTTGTGTAAAAATTCTATAATTCATATAAAAACTATATGGGAAGTTATAAAGTAATCCAGTTAATCCAGTACTTAAAGCAATGATAAATTAAAAAAATTAATGAATTAATCTATAATTAAAAACGATTCCAATGAAGGCTCGATAAACTTGTATTTTATTAGTCACGTTTTTCCCTCCACATAGCTAACTATTGTAATTAAGTACTTAAGAATTACCGGGCGAAAAATTCGCCTCTTTTAAAGTACGATATGAATAACTATTAGCATTTTCACTAACTGAAAAAGTAAAAAAGACCTACTGAGTCAACTCTTAAAAATGTCCAACATGTTTAAGTAAATTATCACCGGAAGGAAATCTTTTCCTTGTATGAGAAAAATCTGATAATTTGTTTTTTTTATTAACTGAAAAGAAAAAAAAATAGGAACTATTGCGATGAGACGTTGGAAAGATATGATATAAATGAGAATTTAATGTACACCTATATCCAACCGTTAATCATTACTAACTAAAAACGATTCTTAGCGTAATTAAGTTATACGCGTTTTAAAAGGCCGTAATGTTTACGATTTTTGTCAAAATTTGATATTAAAATTCTTATTAAAAAAAAAAATACAACATTAAAATCACATATTTTTTGTTGACCACTTAGAATAACTTATAATGAATATTATGTTAAATTTTCAGGCATTTCTGTTTGGTCTAACAGTTTTATTTACAAAGTACCTGTCGAATAAAAATTACGTAAAAAAACCCATAAAATTTAAAAAACTAACTATAAAAGTTTAAAAATTACTTAAATATTTTGAAAATTTGACTACGTCTATAAAAAAAAAATATGAGTTTTCTGTCGAAATTTAAATTCTCTACAGATATTTTTATCTGAATTTCAACAAAATTGAAAATAATATAATTATTTTTATCAATTGTCCCGTTGTTTTTACGTATTTCTCAGTCAGCTGCTCAATTGTTAAAAAAAACTACGAAGAAAATCAAAAAAATGAACTTAAAGTACCATTCAGTTAACATTTTCTTTTAGAAAATATGCTAAACTTAAAAATCCGAACAAGATTTCTGTTAGAAATTGTTTACATTACAGTGTAAACAGTGTTTTTTTTATACATACAAAAAAAAATAAACATCACTTTTTTCATTTTTTTCATTCATTTTTCGATTCTTTCAGAACCTAAAAAGACACGTATCTTATGTAGTGTATTTTATGTACAATTTGTCAGTAGCTTAAAAACAGTTTTTGATTTATATTAAAATACGCCGTGAGTTAATTTGTTGTTAACACGTCATAACGTTAAACTTGTTTACTCTTTTTTTTTTTTTTTTTTAACTAATCTGACGTAGTCTCCCGTGTATCGGAGATAAGCTATTGGAAAACACTAAAAAGTACTTATACATACATTCAGTGACGAGATTTTTTCGTTTTCTGTTTCTCCCCGTCTCTTACTGAGATTCACGTAGCCGTCTACATATTTATTTATATTATCATTATACTTATATATGGATCTAACCCATACTACAAGAGTGCATTTCTATTATATTTTTTTTTTCTTTTTATACAATATAAATAACGTTTTGATAAAGGTTATAGCTACTTTATACCCGTGGGTTCGGTATTCCGGTTGACTCAAGATACCACTCAATGATTAACATATAAAAAAATAAAACCGTAATACTCGTAAATAAGTCAACTTATTCGTATAATATATAGGCGTAGGGTTTTTCTTTCCAAATAAAAAACATGATATATTTATGTGGTCCCCGCCGGCTATAAAACGCTCATATTATTTTGTCTTAGAACGGTATTAATTTTTCCGTATAATCTTCAGATCTTATTATTCTTATTTTTCTACTTAGCCTCCGACATCACCTGACCTGGTCCTCGACTCTTTTTTTTTTTACCCACACTTATCCCTAACTAATACGGTTTATCCGTCTATATAGGTAATCCCATATCTTCTTTATACTTACTCATATACAATTATATGGTACATTGTTCTCACGTAGCGGCCGCCGTTACTACGTAAAGGCTAAAAGTAGCAAAAAGAACCTAGCTCATACTACAGGCTACAATCAGAGGGCGCGGGAACAAAAATATGGGGGCAACAAAATCTTTAGTTTTTCTTTTAATTGCCATAACAAGGAGGTGGTAAAGTAAGTACTCATTTTTATGAAACACTTGAAGATTTTTCCATTTCTTTTTTTTATACATGTAGCACGGTGGCGGTATTATCGTGACCACACTTTTTTTTTTCTTTTTGTGGTCGATGAAAAACAATAGTAACTTTTCGTGCAACTTACAAATACTTAAAACCTATTCCAAAAAAAAATATTTATACACAATTTAGTTCCACTAATTGCGTACCTATTTCGTCTTATTCAAATAATTTTAAGTTAATATTAGGTTCAGTAATGGACCGTTAATTTTAGTTTTAGTAAAAAAAGACCAAACATTTTACTGTTCAATTAAATTAAAGGTGATGGAGCAGAGCATGTTTTAAGGAGTAATATTGTAAACATTATTCATTTAGTCATATTATATTACTCATTATATTGTTGTATATTATGTTTACGTGAATCTTATTAATAATTAAATAAATATAATATACTATTTAATGATTTAATCATACAAATATTTAAAAAATAAAACGAGTACTATAAAAAATGTTTCGATATTTTTATGACTGTAGGCACGAACATACAGAGACGGCTCGTGGGCAGATATTTAGGGAGACTGAACCTACCAAATTGTAACTGTAACAAATTGTTTAACCTAAACAATCTATACATGTTAATAAAAACTGAAGCAATGGAGAATTATAGTTTTGTGTATACGTTGGAGTATTTTATGTATTAGAGTAATCAGTGTATTAGAGTTAATACAATTTTTAAATAAAATTGTTAGATTAAACAGAAATACTTGACATTTGAATATGATGTTCATTATAGATTGTATTAATAGGTTAAATAAAAAAAATGAGTGTTAGATAGTTTTTTTTTTTTTTTTTTTTTTTA